TTATTCTTTCCACAGAATTAACTGGTCTAACCTAACCTGGTGTCCTCATTCGATTGATCATTTCGCGAATTATCTGAAGGGTAAACTCCCGCGTTTTAATTCCAGATTTTGGAATCCGGGTGTGGAAGGCATCGATGCTTTTGTAATGGATTAGGCTGGGGAGAATAACAGTTGAATAACTATGATTGTCCACCTGTCTGTCTTATTCTGCGCGTTTTGATTCATATGCCTAATTGTAAAGCTTCAGGGTCTCTTGTTGTCTCTTTGTGACATTCCGTTCTTTTATGGTCAATGATTTGCCCAGATGGAGGTTGGCTCGCCAATTTTATTGTTTATTAGATGGAACTTCTGACAAAAAGAAGCCTTTATTCCGGGCAGTTGCAATTATTAAAGTGTGTTTGAAAACGAAAACTTGATCTTGATTGCTTTGAGAATCCACTTTCATTATTAGGTATTTGTTATCTTTTATGCATATCTTTTAGCGGCCTTTCTTTTTCTTTCTTTTTACGCTTGGGGCCATGAGATAGCATCCGTAGTGCGTCGGCAATCCCGGCAATGTATCGGTGAATCGTCGTCGAACGTTATGAATTACCTAAGGATTTGTTCAGAGTATTTAAGTGTAGAATGCAACTTTAGTCCTCTTGGTGTTCTCTCTCGAGCCACTCAAGCTTACCTTTTTATTTTCGTATTTTGTTTTGCTAATCGTCGTTTGCTTTTTATTTTCTTAGGGGTTCATGTTTCCGTTTTTGCTTTCTTTGCACAGGAAACCTTTATAAATATCGCTACAGAAGACTTCCAGCTTTCAATGAAAACATTTTGACGTCAATATTGTCCGCTTTACCAAACCAAGCTTTAAATCGCGACAAAGGTACCTTTTTTGGATAAAAGTGATCTCATCAAAGCGCAAAAAGGTACCTTTTGTTGGGTCGGAAGCGATGTTCTTAAAAGGGCGAAGAAAAAAACCCTTTAAAAAATGGCCTTTTCAAGGTATTGGTAAGCCATTCGGAATTCTACTCAGTGGCAGATGTCAGCCGTTGGCGCCCACAGCCAGCTGCAACGAACGATACAGAGACGTTTTTAGATACACATACATACATTTTTTATTGTGTTTTGAGGTAAAAGTACAATTATAACATGCCCGCGGGTAGCTAAGCTAATCTAGGCGGGTCATGTTTACAGGAAATAAATACTAAATTAAAAGTAACAAGAGAACTTAAGAAACTAAAATTGACAACAATGACTAGAGACTACTGATAAACTAACGGTATTACTAATAATAAATGACAACAATTATGACAAGAGCTCCTGATATAATGATAACATACTAACTAAGAGGAAAACTAGAAGTTCTCATTGAGAAGGGAAGTGCTGCCGTTAGTTGCGATGCTAATAGGCCAAGATACTATGTAGAACAGTTGAACATGAATTTTATTAAAGTTAATAACTTAGACTTGTTGGAATTATGAAACACTCCAAGCGAAATATAAAAAATGAACCGATCACAATGACAAATATGTTTACATATTCAGATAACTCGCTAAAGTTTCAATATGATTTTGTAACTCATTTAATAATTCACTAAATTCTAAAACGACAGCAGCACTGATAGGCTGTTTCTTCATTGAACAATCATCGTACACATGACGAGAAGAGTTGCGAACAAATAACGTAAAGGTCAAAACTTGATAATTCACAGGTTAGGTAGACGTACATCACATGCCGTTCTTTTGCGCCTGCCACGCAGGCTATTCACTTATCTAACTTTATACAATCCTGATTCCCTAGATAACAATCGTTGTGACAAAAGAATACTCGCTATAACTAATCTTGAAACCGAGAATAAAACAAATAAACCGAGAAAAAATGTTCTGTACCTCTTGAACTGCGCTTACCGTTTAGGCCGTTTAAAGAGACAGCAAACATCCGATGGACTACGATTTCTGCACAGATCTTACATGAGAACAAAACAAAATGGCGGGTTGCTCCTAAGAGAAAAACAGGCGCGGCAGCTAAGCACTCGCTTAAACCGTAACTGCACAGCGCTGCAGTCACAGATTGATTGAACCATCGAACCAAAATTTTTAACACCAATTTTTTTTTTTTTGTAACACCGGCGTCAATAAATAAGGGATTTGTATGCTGATTTCGCTCAGAAAAATAGATGGTCTAAATAAAGCGAAGAGATCGTTTTCAAGCTTGAGAAGCTTTTCAAGGTACGATTTATAAGCTTGGTCCCAGGCCATCAAACCATAAGTTAAACAAGGCGAACGAGTGCGTGAACCCGGCCTTCTTTTAGTTCATAAAATGATAGAGCGTCAAGGGAAAATGTGCACTATGTAATAATGGACTACAGCCCACATGAACTCTGATGATGAATAAATGGGAAAAAATACTACTGGCTTGCAGATCAGACTGGAAAGACTCGAACATTCCAGAGGGGTGTACTTGACCATGACTGCATAATGCTTCAAAGTAGTGTTGCAGCTAGTTTTCTTTTTCTTTTAATTAGCATGAGCTTCAGTCACAATCTTAGGCAGTAAACTAATATTTTGAGGGAAAAAACTTTAAAATAACACCCTATATGTAGAGGAAGAGAACATAATGGTTGGAATAATTATGCCGGGATTTTAAATTTTTTCTGGTTGCTGAAGTGATCATTTTACATGCTAAATTACTACGGAGGAGTGAAAAAACAGATCTTTATTCATATTGTTGTCACTCTGATACAGGTACTTCAAAGACAAACTACCGGCATCTTCTTTTAGTTAATTCATAATCAGAAAACTTCGAAAAGTGTTGCTGCACTTATCGTTTGATTGGGGATCAAGTTCATCTTCTCTGAAAAAAAGTAAATAAATAAATAAAGGATGTGTCAATATTTCATTGCCTTGTATATTGATTCAATAAGAAGCAAAGAACTAACCACAGAAAAACCCAAACTAATACCCTTGTGTACCTCGTTGAGGATAATCAATAATCCTGCTCTTAATTTGTTATCTGTAAGAGTTGCAATTGTACTAGTTATTCTTATCGGTTTGGTACGTTATAAGAAGATAAAACACTGTTAAAACTGACAAGCGAGAAGCCAGGGTTTATTCTAGAACGTGGTCTTGCGGGATTTCCGCAATTTGGAAAAACTGCCGAAAAAAATTTACGTTGCCACGTCACATGAGGCGCAAAAAAAATAGACCCAAGGATAAGTACTATTGTTTTGAAATTAAGTATTCGAAGACATCACTGACAACAACACTGATTTGGCGGCCGCTCTATATACATACTTTGAACTTTTATAGCCTCTTACTGTCTCAACTGCCTTTCTCTTCTTCCGTTGAGTCATTATTTTACAAGACAAACATCCGGGATTCTGCAGTAATTCGAGCGTAGGCTTTTTCAGTTGCCCAGAAAAAAGTGTTTGCAAAGCGTCAATAAACGTTCGTTTTCTCATGGAACAGTCTGTACCGAAAAGTTCAAATACCTTCTGGTCTTCAGTGTTATTACGACTTTGAAAATTGTATCGTCAAATGCAAGAGTGATGGGTACTCATTGTCTTTACCATTTACTTTGATAACAGTCTTTTTCTTAATATAGGTATTAAAATCCTCATAATTCAACACACCTGGAGGAAATGATACATTTGTAAAATTAATTAAAATTCCTGAATCACTGCTTAATCGGATAAGCTGATTACCATACCCAGCATTTATATTGAACCAGGTGAAGCTCATGTTGATTATTCTGTTGAGGCCAATAGCATACTCATGATTATTGTGTAAGACTATTTGGTAACAAAGTTTCCAGGCTTATTATTTCCCTCATTTATAACCGAATAGGAGGATAAAACTATTTCTCGTTCCATATGTTATATAATTAGACTAGATTAAAATATTACTTGTACAGTTTGTTATGCTGGCTTTTGTTGATAGTTGAGGTTCTTAGAAGAGTGTCCAATATTGAAACTCCCATGTTACGCATTTTAATTGATGTATTACCAGCCGTTATTTTTCCTAGGATCAGTTCCAACTTTTTTTAGCAAAGTTTTGGGTTATTGAACAACATCACACTGCCACCTCTTTTTTTTCTCATTCCAGAACCTTTTATTCCCTCTCTCCTTTTTTCATAATGTTTGATACATTGATTTAAGACAACTCTTGCATCATCTATTCTTTGATTTTCCTAAGCCCTCTCTGCTTCTCCTATCTGACCCTGCTTATACGCCTTTGTAAATTTGCATTAACTATTACCTTATTAAGATAGCTTCTTGTCTTTTGGGGTGTCATTTCAGGCTGGCTTAGAATCTTATCAACATTAACATAATAGGTGATTTCCAGGTCTAAAAAGTTCAGCAGTTCTGTCTTCCTCACCTAAAGCATAATCAGGAATTTTATCCTCACTATATTCTGGAGGCAAATCTTCTGGCTCCGGTGGTAAATATTGAGGATCAACACAGATTTGTTTCCCCTCTTTTATCTTATCCGCGAAAGATTCTTCATAGGTAGGTGGTTTTGGCACTAACTGCTTATTTTGTTCTGGCTGTATGCGTTCATCAAATAGATCGTCTACATGCATAACCAGGAATTTCTTGATCTTCAATAGCAATACCATAATCAGGGACTTCCCTTCTTTAATTACCACGTTTTCTCTGCAACGCTGGCAGTTTCAGATTACCCAACGCAACATCATCTAGTTTGGAAGTTATTGGTTTGAACTTCTTTTGAAAAGATGTCTGGTCCATTTGTTCTCCCAAATGATTTTTCAAGATTGCATCATGCACAAAATTAATCTTATTACCCAGCTCTTTTTTCTCTTAGCAAGTTCCTTCCACTTGAGTAAACTCGTTTTTTATACTATTATGTTAGACAAAATTCACAAATCTAGTATAAAATCAACAAAAAGTCGCACGTGCATGCATAGTGTGCGGACGCAGGATTTGATTGCTCTGGCCAAGATCGAAATCACCGAAAAATTTTAGTCCAAAATATGCTCAATACACTTCATTCAAAAGCCTCAGTTCTTTGGCGGCTGAAGTAAATGTTCAAGGAGAGTTTGTAACACTGGCAACGCTTCGCGAGATGTTACAGATGCAGGAAAGAATGTTCAAGAGCTTCTTTGACTCGATCGTAACTAACGTGAACACTCGCCTCGACTCTTTAACTCATTCAGTAGCCGAGTTAAAAGCAAGAATTGCTAGCTCGGAAAAGGAAACGGGTGCTTTGAAAAACAGCCTTGAGTTTTCGCAAAAGGACATCGATGACTTGAAACTAGCATTACTTAAATTACAAGAACTGGACTCCGCCATTGAAGAAATTCAAGACGACTTGGACGATCAAGAAGAACAAATGGAGTATTTAGAAAATCAGAGTAGGCAAAATAAAGTCAGAGTCGATGGCATTTCCGAAGAGGATAACGAAACGTGGGAAGAAACTGAAGCTAAAGTAAAGCAAGTTTTGAAAGACGAGTTGAATCTCGCCAGTGCTCCTGACATTGAGAGAGCGCATCGCGTGGGTAAAAGTTCTCGTAGGCCAGCTTCGGCCCAGAATTCTGCAAGTCGTCCTCGAACCATTGTTTGTCGCCTTCGAGACTGGAAAGAGAGGGAAACGATCCTGAAATGTGCCCGAAGAATTAAACCCGACAATATATTTGTGAAAGACCTATCTCCAGCAACCCTTGAGAAAAGAGAAAGTCAACGTCCAAAGATGGAAGCAGCCAAGAGAGCAGGGAAGATCGCTTATTTTGTGTTAGAAAAACTGGTTATTAGAGACGGACCTAATGTCGAGAACAGCTAAGTTATTTATTTCTTACTGCTATTTTCCTCCTTGTTTTTTTTTTTAATTTTGTTTTCCCCCTCATTAAAAATGTCTGTCTTTCCGGAATTTTCATTTCCCTTTAACGAACTTGATGAGGCCGACTTCAACCTAGCAATTTACGAAATGCAAAATGGCCCTGTTCGCTATGATGCTGATAGATTGGCTAGTTTAAGTTTCAATCCTTTACTCCACAATATTAGAACAAATCTAGCTCGTTCATTTGACCTTGACCCTGACACCAACCTCAGGGATTTATTTAGCAATGAATGTGAATATTTTAATGAAGATCAATTTAATGACATGCTATCTAGTGAAGATTCACGTATTTGTGACACCTTTTCTCTACTGCATCTAAACATTCGTAGCCTACAATGTAATGCTAGCAAATTAACGGATCTTTTATCTAACGTAAGTTTAAAATTCTCTTTGATTGGTATTTCCGAAACTTGGCTAAATGATTCGTCATCGTCAGTCGACATCGACGGTTACAGTTTTGTTCATAAAAGTAGGGAAAATAGATCCGGTGGTGGAGTTGGTCTGTATGTTTCTAGCAATTTGAATTTTAAATTTCGATGCGATCTTGATTTTTCGTTGCCAAACGTCGCCGAATCTTTGTTTATTGAAATTGTTAAGCCCCAGGGAAAGAACATTGTTACTGGTGTGATTTACAGGCCGCCAAACCAAAACGTTCATGAATTTTTAATAATGACCAATGAGCTATTAAGTAAGATTTCAAAAGAAAATAAGGCATGTTATTTAATGGGTGACTTTAACTTAAATCTAATAAACCACCAAAGTCATTCCGTTACTGGAGAATTTTTAGATGCGCTATATTCAAATATGTTCTTTCCATTGATTACGCCCCCTACAAGAATAACTTGTCATTCGGCAACTTTAATTGACAACATTTTTCGTCAACCAATTTTTCGATAGATCTAGGAGTGGACTGTTTTTCACTGACATTTCTGACCATCTGCCTATATTTTCTATTCATTTCAACACCTCAATCTCAGGATCTAATGAAACTGTTTTTGTTCGAGATGTAAATCAAGTCAACACAACTAAGTTTCTATCGCGTTTGGAGAGAATTGCCTGGTCTCAGTATGCCACTCTTGATGATCCAAATAATGCCTATAACAGCTTTTTCAAACAATACTCTACGGCATATGACTCATGTTTTCCTTTTAAAAAAAACTAAGGTGAGCAATTACCGTTTGAGTAAGCCTTGGTTATCGAAAGGATTTCTGAAGTCGATAAGAACGAAAAATAAGTTATATAGACAGTGTCTCACTAATCAATCTTCGCATTATGAAACTCGTTATACTCGTTATATTATTGAATCACTCATTAAGAATTGCTAAACGTATATATTACGAAAAGAAAATCGATGCTTCTAAATCAAATGCCAAAGCTACATGGAGATTTCTAAACGAAATTATTAAGACAAAAAAGAAAGCGTTTAAAATCAACTCCATCTTTAAAGTTGACAACCAAGAAATTACGGATCCAGTAGACATCGCTAATAGATTCTGTAATTATTTTTCTAGTATCGGACCTAATCTAGCCAAAGAAATTCACTCGTCTGTCTCTCACCGCAGTTTTCTCTCTGGTCACTTTTGTTAATCGGTGTTTTTTGATCCAGTGACTCCAAATGAGCTATCAGAAATTTCCAATGCTTTTCGACCAGGTAAGGCAGCTGGTCATGATAGAATTCCCATTTCCCTCATAAAACAGTCAATTCAAATTATAGCCGATCCTTTAGCTCATATAATCAATTTATCTATCACTCATGGCATTGTTCCCGATCAAATGAAAATTGCTCGCGTGATACCACTCTTTAAAGCCGGTGATCGATCACTCTTTACGAACTATAGACCGATCTCGATTCTCCCTAGCTTTTCTAAGTTTCTTGAAAAGGTTGTTTATAACCGTCTTTATAATTATTTAAGTAAACTAGAAATTCTATGTGATAATCAATTTGGCTTCAGGAAAAATCATTCAACTTCGTTAGCATTGATTGACCTATATCAAAAAATCTCCCTTGCTCTTGATCGCAATGAACATGCCGTTGGCGTTTTCCTTGATCTTTGTAAGGCCTTTGATACCGTCGATCATAATATTCTGCTAGACAAACTCGAACACTATGGTATACGTGGCGTGGCTCTGGACTGGGTTAGAAGCTACCTCTCCAACAGGTTGCAATTCGTTCAATTTAACGGTCAATGCTCCTCTCCTCAAACTATCTGCTGTGGTGTGCCCCAGGGATCCATTTTGGGCCCCTTGTTTTTCTTGCTCTATATTAATGATTTAAATAACGTATCGACGCTCGTCGAGCTGATTTTATTCGCTGATGATACTAATTTATTTATGTCCCATAAAGATCCTGTCTACCTGGCATCCTCACTCAATTCCGAACTTAATAAATTATCCACTTGGTTTAAGGCAAACAAACTCTCCTTAAACCTGAAGAAAACAAACTTTATGTTATTTAAGCCTAGACAGAAAAAGTATCATTTTCCAATGCAAATATGCATAAATGAACAGAGAATCGAACAGGTTGAGGAAACGGTCTTCCTCGGTGTAGTCCTTGATGAACATCCGGTCTTGGAAACCGCACATTTCTCAAGTAGCTTGTAAGATCTCGAAATCAATAGGTGTCATTAATAGAGCAAGATTTTTTCTACCTAAACCGTGTCTAAAAACTCTTTATTATTGTTTAGTTTATCCTTATCTTCATTATTGTATTATTGTCTGGGGATCTACGTACAAAACCAATCTTCGCCGTCTTGTCTCTTTGCAAAAGCGAGTTATCAGAATTATTTCTAAAACAACTTGAATTCTCATTCAGAACCTATTTTCAAAGAATTAGAGCTACTAAAGGACCTGAACAATCGATGAAAGCTGATGAAAATCGATGATCGGAAAATCAATCGATGACAATCAATTAATTACTGTTGATTAGCATCGATTGGTATCCGCCAATCGACGATCAATCGATGATCACACTTAGGTGGTCGCGAACTTCATCGATTGCCATCGATTGGCACTAAATTCATGTCTCCGTATCTTCAGGTATCGCGGGAGTGTACGCAGATCGTATATTATTTTTGAACCTCAGTAGCAAAGTGGGAGAATTGTTCATCGATGTGGCTCCGTGAAAAACAGCACAAATAATTAAGACAATTAACATATCCCGTTGTCAGTAGTACAAACTTGATCGATTTAGCTTTGAGTTCATTGCACAGATTCAACTGACTTGGGACGCAGTCGTTGTTCAAACACGATTAAGCTCATTGTTATTTCTTTTTCTTCTTCTTTCTTTATACGTCTGTGCAGACGCCCACGTAACAGAAAATGTGTGCATTAAATTGAACATATTTTACGAATACTTAGCTAAACTGTTAGCTCCAAACGTTACATCACGCATAAAATATTCAGGGGCACCCAACGAGAATATAGTTCAAAACCATTTAAACACAACATTGTTTAACGTATGTTAGTATTTGAACGGTAGATATAGGCATATTTTTATCCCCTAAAAATTTTGCATCTGTTCGGATTTTCTAGCTGAAAGTCTAGTGATCCGAAAATTATAGGGATCAAAACATACCTTTACGAAAATTTCAGCCAGAAAAAAGGTTCCCGAAAATTTTAGGTCACCTTTTTAGGGTAAAAATCCGTTCAAAATGGGCAATTATACCATTTTGGGGGGGTTCGAAAATCCAAGGAGAGGCAGGCAAGCAATAAATTTAACAACAAATGCTCCGAAAATTCTAGATCTCAAATCGTCTTCCGAACAGATATTTTCCAAAAAACTGTCGTTGGGTGCCCCTGAATATTTCACACCTTGCCTAATTTGTCAGCTGTTTCGTTGAAGCATAACAGTGGGGTTTGTTTTTCTTACACACAAATCCGTAGTACGTTTCTATGAATTTTAAACTCGCGCGAAACGTGTGGGCGAATAAACAAGTTTACCCATTGCTACTCGCTAGTTTTTACTCAAATAAAAAGCAATGATATCAAAATGTGTAACTTTATTAGTACTCGATGAAATTGACAGTTTAAATGTTTGACTGAATAGGTAATCAATTGATATTGCATATTGATCACAATGTACTATGTTAATTGATCGATTCCCATCGATTATCGATTGATATTGATAATCGATGATAATCGATAATCAAAAAAACTTTCGTGATCGATTGTCCATCGATTATCAATATGAATCGATTAATTGATATCGATTGTTATCGATTGCCATCGATTATCGATTTCATCAATTGTTCAGGTCCTGATAGAATGAAAATACTAAACTATGATGTAGAGGATAAACAATCTAACTATAAAGAGAAAGTCCCATTCATGCCTGACAGATGTTTTAGGATGGTCGTATGTCGTCCGTCAGGTTCGGTAAAACTAATCTTCTTTTGGATATGACCTATAGATTGCTATATTATGACAAGATATATCTGTATGCTAGAAATTTACAACAGAGCAAGTGCCAACACTTGATAGACTTATTCGAGCCCATTAGTCAAGAAGCCGGTTATCCCATCTTTGAAGCCAGTAGTGACAAAATAATTCCACTGCATAAGATGCCATGTGACAATCAGAAGTTAGTCATTTTC